AGTATTATGCTTCTCTTTTAAAGGCCAACATTCGGCACCATAAAGCATTGCAGGCCTCACTACCAACTTATAGAATTTTCCCTTAAGTTTGAGGGGTACATTTCTATCACATAACAAGCCCGATGCATTCCTCCACTTCAACCATCCAACTTGAATTCTACTGATAATATCCCCATCTATTTCACCATCACTCTGAATAATAGATCCAAGATATCTAAAACGTATACTCTTATTAATGACTTGATCGCCCAAAGTCACAATCCCCTCACTAGGTCTATTACTACTAAAATTACACTCCATATATTCCGTTTTAGATCTACTCAAGCGAAAACCTTTAGACTCTAAGGTTGACCTCCATAATTCAAGTTTACCTTCAACTCCCTCTCTAGTCTTATCAACAAGAAGAATATCATCAGCAAAAAGCATACACCAAGGTACATCCTCTTGCAAATGTCTAGTGAGAACATCCAAGACTAAAGCAAAAAGATATGGGCTTAAGGCTGATCCTTGATGTAACCCAACCGAAATAGGGAAATACTTGGTCAATCCACCTTGTGTTTGAACACAAGTAATAGCTCCTGCATACATATCTTTAATGATTTGAATATAAGCATTATTGACTCCTTTCTTTTCAAGAACTCTCCATAGCACTTCTCTTGGAACTTTATCATATGCTTTTTATAAATCAATAAATATCATATGTAGATCATCCTTATTTTCTCTATATTTCTCCATCAAACCTCTTAATAAATGTATGGCTTCCATAATCATAGTCAATCTTATTTTCACAATCTTCATTAAAAAGTTTAGCAAAATATCTCATCCATCTTTGTTGAATATCATCTTCTAAGAAAAGTATGTTTTGATCTTCATCTTTAATACACTTCACTTGAACTAAATCCTTACTACTCCTATCTCTTTGTTTGGCTAACTTATACATATATCTTTCTCCCTCTTTAGTAGAAATAATCATAGCATATTTAATTAATTAAGATTTCTTTCATTATTATATTTTAAAATACATGTTGTTTGTTCTCTCTTTCTCCTTCTCAAAGTCTCTCTCATTAATTGATTTCTAAAATGTTTATGACAATTAAAATTAATGCACATACTTTCTATTTCTCCTACTCTATATTTTTTTATTTAATTCATATTTTCTATATTGTTAATATGTCATTTATCCCTAATCATTTAATTCCTTATTTGCATAATTAATTTCTAATTAGCATTTTCAATTAAAATTCATATTTTATTTAAATATCATAATCTCTCAAACTTATACTCTCTCTAATTATTTGCTTTTAAAATCTTAAATTTAAATTTGATTATTATTATTTCTATATTTGATAAAATATTTCATTTCCTATACAATTTATCTCACTAAAACTTCCATTCCTTCCTTGAAAATTTTCCTTATCCGTCGAGCCAAAGTTTATATCACTTGGATTCTTCTAACATAAAAATCAAATATATATATATTTTTCATTATTTCTTCAACTTAAGAAACAAGAAATGAAAGTATATAACCTCAAATTAAATCACTTAATTTTTCCTTAAGAAGGAATTCCAAAAATCCAAATTATTCTTCTCTCTTTACCAGATTAATCACAGTAGAAAAAACGACAAAAGAAATGAATTTGAAAGAAAAGAAAACTTAATTTTTTTACGCTTAGAAATGCGAATCGACCCCGTTTGGGGTTATACGCACGTAAGTGGAAACCACTCGGTCCGTCTAGATTGCGAGCCGCGACTGCTCCATGCTATGTTGTGGATCCGAGATTTGTTGCGGAAATAAAGGCTAGTTCAATTGAACCGATCTCAAGCCGGATGTTACAAAGGATATGTATACATGATTTATTACTTGTATTCAAACACAAGGTGGTTTGACTAAGTATTTTCTTATTTCAGTTGGATTACATCAAGCACCAGCTTTAAGCCCATATCTTTTTGCTTTAGTCATGGATATTCTTAATAGACTTTTGTAATAGGATGTACCTTGATATAATTTGTTTGCTGATGATATTCTTCTTGTTGATAAGATTAGAGAGGGGGTTGTAGGTAAACATGAATTATGGAGGTTAACCTTAGAGTCTACAGTTTTCTTGTTTGAGTAGATATAAAAGTAAATACATACAGTGTAATTTTAATAGTAATAGATCTAGTAGGGGGATTTTTACTTTGGGCGATCAATTCATTAATAAGAGCATATGTTTTAGATATCTCAGGATTATTGGTCAAAGTGATGGTGAAATAGATGGGAGTATTATTAGTAGAATTGAAGTTGGACGGTTGAAAGGGAGGAATGAATCGGGCCTGTTGTGTGATAGAAAAATACCTCGCAAACGTAAGGGAAAATTATATAAGATGGTGGTGAGACCTGCAATGCTTTATGGCATAGAATTTTGTCCATTAAAATAAAAGCATAAAATTAAGTTAAGTGTCGTAGAGATGAGGATGCTTAAGTGGATGAGTGACTTCACTCTTAGAGACAAGATGCGAAACAAGTATATATGTGCAAAGGTTGGAGTATGTCTAGTTGCAGATAAGATTAGAGAGAGTTGCCTTAGATGGTTTAGTCACATTAAATGTCGGCCTTTTGATGACCCAGTTAGAGGAGTAGATGTATTAGATTTGGCCTATGATAAAAATGTAGAGGTAGACCTAAAATGACTTGGTTAGAAAATATTATAAATGACATTTTTAATTAGATTTAAATGTGAATTTGACTGTTAACATGACAATGAAAAAAAATGATTCATGTAGCCGACCCCATGTGGTGGGATAAAGGTTTGATGATGATGTTGTTGTATTTTCTATCGTTTAATCCATTCTTTCTTTGGAACGTTTCAGTGTTATATGTGAATTTTGTGGATAGCTGCATGACTCCCATTTCCAGCCTCCTTTTTAGGAAGGAAATCAGGAGAGAAATGTTGGAAACCATGAGGCTTGCTAGTTGCTATTATCGAAGAAATGCTGAGAGCATATCTTTGACCTAGAATGGTGTCAATCACATCTTCTTGATTCAAAAGAGATTAAAGGTAGGTTTGAACATTTTCAACCACAGGTTTGGTGCATTTGACACTCTCAGCTGGGGTCAACTACCCCACCTGCAAGCTAGTCCAGCTTCCATTGGTCTTGAATTTAATTTGGAATGAAACTGAGAAGCTGTAGTCTTAAACAAAAACTGTGCAAAGCCTAAAATATTTCTGGAATTTTCTGTGTTCCCAGAATACTTGGTGAGGTTAAATAGTCTCATTTTTTTGTACCAAGAATGGACTTAATTCTAATTGTATAAATCTGTTTTACATTAATATCTAGTAGCTATGATGCACCGACACTTCTCCTCAAAGAGGCGTGCAGTGTCCGACACGACACTCGTCCGACACTCCTCCGACACGTGTCGGACACGCCGAAAACGTGTCCGATTAAAAAAATATTAAAAATAAATTGGACACGCGTGTCCGAACACGCGTATCTTAAATATTTTATAATTTTTTAAATATAATTTCTTATATTTTGCGAGATTTAAACTAAAGCTAATCCTCTAAAGCTAATCCTAATAATTGAAGCTTGAATGCTTGATGTTGCAATAAGTGATTATTTGCTTATATTGTTTTGGTTGTACTAGATATTTTGTATTAAATATTTATATTATAAACTAGACAAGTTATCATGTCATTCATTTATTATTGTTTGTCATTTTTAATATGATATTATATTAATATATATACACTATATAAAAAAGACATCGTTTGATCAGATTCGCACTTTAATTTCGGGTGTCGGTCGTCTCTTTTGACCAATCTCATCCGATTTGATTGCGACGGGCCTTGACCTAGCAAAATTTGATATCCTGATCGCAACGACGATGTTCATTTTACAATCGGAGATCATTTGACCCTTCAAGTGATGCGTCGTATCAACCTGCGCGTTGCTCGATCCGCCACCTTTGTCCTTTTTGCACATAGTTTTTTTAAGTTATAGGGGTCAACATTAACTTTATTCATAAATCAGTCTATATTTTACATTGTGTTGAATACTTGGAATAAGAAAATTTTCTTTCTTGTTCTTGTTTACTCCATAGTTTCCCTTGCGTTCTCGATTGTTTGGATGTGGTTCTTATCAAATATAATTTTATTTGGGTTAGAATTGCCATGATTTCATGTTTTTTGTTGTAAATAGTAAACTTGAAGTTATAACTATTAGTGGCTAACTATAGAATAAACAAGGGGATTTTTTTAAGCATCCTCTTCTTCCTTGTTTACATGTTACCCCTTATCTCCTCAGTTCTTCCTACAAGGGATTCCTCCCTTGTTAACAATCGAGCTCTAAAAAATTTATCACTATCTTCAGTTATGCTGCTGCACTCATTGCCACTTAATCTCTACAATTTCTCACAACTTGAACATGGTAACAATAACATGTTCTAATGTAAATCTTTATTTAATCCAGTTGAAATGTATGTTTTTTCTGGTTAGAATCGTTTAACATATTATGGGAGGACTTGCCTTACGTTCAAATTAACAAAGTACAAGCACCCCCTCTCCCCACCTACTTGGCTTGACATAATTCATCATTAGCAATTTTGATGATCTTGCATGAAGGAACTGACCTTAGTCTTCATACATATCTGTAAAGCTTTATACCAACCTTTCCAATAAATTTGAGTTAGTTTAACGCTGATGCTTAAGAAATGATAAATTAAAAACAAAACTTTTTTGCAAATGCAAGGTGCGATGATGTAGAATGGATAAATCATTAAGGTAATAGCTTGAGGATGAGTCTTTACTTTTTGGAATCTGATCCTAGCTTAGAAGTAAATATTTTATTTATATTTTAAATGCTACTTCAATGATTCTAATGATTGTGTCGTATTTTAAGTGTCTTTCACGAGTAGAAACTTCTATTATTTTGGAATGATCTGCGCACTTTCATGCCCAAGCTAGGGCTAACTGAATTTTCAAAACTTTCCTTCTAATTATTTTTTTACATGTTCGTAGGTACAAGTGATACACAAGTTTTTGATGAGACAAGTCCTTCGGGAAATGACTATCTAGCTGAGGTGAGAAAACAAAATGTTTTTTGTTTTTTTTTGTCGTACATATAGTCTAAGGATAAAGTGGCGTTTATCAGTTACTCTTTGAATACTGGATTACAGTGGCGAGGAAATGATGCTAAACTTTCATATGTCAACTCAATTGTCCTATTTTGGCTGTTACCATGAAAAGAACAGCTCCCTCGTTAGAGTCCTAATTCACCTTGATTAGAAGATGTGAAATAATAAAGTTATTTCACATCCCATTACTTCTACATTCAAAACTATTATTACAGATCTTCCAGAAGCCCAAGAGCTGTTTGCCTTTGATCCCATTACTACTGCAGAGGTTGTTGATGTCACTAAATCCGTGCAGCTCTGGATTCAAATGGTAGTCTTCTGAGGACTGAAGCTTAGGTGGATAGGAGATTCCAAATTCTGTTTTTAATGAGGGATAGAGCAACAACAACATCAAATCTTTATCCTACTACGTGGGGTCGGCTACATGAATCCTTTTTCTCCATTGTGTCCTATTAATGAGGGATAGAAATAATAAAAAAAATTATCACGATAACAATACTATGCCAAGCCAATAAGCAAATTTCTATTACATTACCGAATATGTGAATGACTGTTGTATACAGAAGAATGAAGAAATGAACATCATATGCATCATTGAACAGTATCATACACCTCAGTTGATCCAAAGACATTGGCAAAGTCAATGTGTTTGAGTCAGAATGCTGAGGATATAAAACGCCAGTTGAATCAAAGTAAGACTACTCACATGTCATACGAATATCAGGACTTATGTTTGTTTCTCTAATTTTCTCTATTGTTAGGTGCTTATTAGAATAAAGTATGTTTGCTTTATACATTTTCTGGTGCTTTTTGATAACTTTACCGTAACTTTTCCCAAGTAATCTATTTCTCATTCACCTTTTTCTATTTAGATTCTCATCAGAATTGGCAACTGCCATCATACTTAATAATTTCCACACTCCATTTTGACTTCCTATATATAATCTTGATTGTAGTAGAGAGGGAGAATCTGAACATACCTATTCATTACTAACACCCATTTTGAACTATTTCGATCAGAATCATGTGAGTAGGAAATAACCTATTCAGATTATCCCAATATCTCAAGTTTTGTATATAACAATGTGAAACATATTTAAAACATCTCAAATAAAATTCAGAACTTCACTAAACTTTAAAATGTTATTTACATACCCAAAAGTGTCTATATAGCCTTTACTCTAATATCTATGTACTCCTAAAATGTAGGTACACAAAATGGGTATTTAATCATCCTACCTACTACCCTTTTGGCTATTTTCTCTTTCTTGCAATACAACCACTGCTGATAATTAGGGCTTAATGAAATACACAAACAATATATAAGAAATAATAATAAACATAGTGATAATTAATTGAAAACACTTATAAATTTTCATACAATACATAAGACATGCATAACATCACTTTCTATTCTGTTTATTGTTTAACACTATTATACAACTCATATGATGACTATAGGCTTTTGCATCTTTATAGCTTCTTAATTCAAGGTTGGGTATGCATTCCCAACTATTATAATTAAAGCTACTCTCTCATTCAAGGTTCTGTCCAAATTCCAACCTTTTAGAATGTCGAGTGTATAAGCTTATCTCGTTAGGTCTTTCGCCTTTATTTGTGCTGGTCTATTGCTCATATATAACATTTTTCACCTTTCCAGTACCATTCTCTTTTAACATTCATAAAATGTGCTATTGTAATCCCTACTTATTGAATAGATAAATTTATACAGGAAGAATTTAGGATAAATTACTTATCATAATCATAATGAATGTGAGGTAGCAAATATATAAAATTTTACTCTCTCCTATGACATCATTTGGGTATCTCACATTGCTAGGAATTGGTTCTCTTAGATCTTGCTTTCTTTTCCTTTTGTACATAGCCTAAAAAATAAATTTCTTAATTTATACATGCATTCAAATAGAAATTAAAATAGACAATTTGAAATCTTACAAATTTATCTCAATGGAATTTCTCCTTGTTCAATCCAAATTCTTTTCCTCTTTCCAAAATTCCCTCTCTACTTCCTTTCGTTTCCTTTTATGTATAGCTAATTAATTAAGTGGACAGTTTTTCCATTTAATTAAAGGGACAATTTCCACTATAGTGGCAGATTCCACTAATCAAGACATGCATGGGCTTGGTTGGGATCAGGTGGCCGGAGAATTTTAGTGGAATTAGGATTTTATATTTAAAATTTCTATTAGTAGTGCAAAGCATTTAATTAGGTTTTAGTGACATGTTAAATGCCTTGAGCAATTCCCTCATTCAGCCTCTCCCGTTATTCCCTGTTCTCTGGAGTTCGGGTAGCGAGGTAGTGGCTGAGCATATTAGAAGGATGGGTTCTTGTTGGCGCTGTTCCAGCCTACCGGGAATTTCTACAATAAGGTAATGGGCTGTTGTATTAAGTTATTTACTGATTTGTATAAGAGGGGTTATTGCAGGGAGTTGCTGAAATTATGTATGATATTGCAACGTTTGTTGAAAACAATTGCAGGAATTCATTAAGGGATTGTTGAAATTAAGATAGTTGAAAGCAGGTTTCATACATTAGTTCTTGTTGGCAGAAATCAGTAACAAAAAGTGGAAAAAAGGATGAAGTCAATATAGGTTTATCTGATTGTTGTATTTGCTGGAATAAATGTTGTTAATTTAAATTTGAAACGGAATTTTGGGATGAATGAGGGAGATTATAATTAAGGTAAATTGTAAGATGGTTATAGTGTCTGTTTTATTTTGTTTGAAAGCATTTATAAATGAAGTCATTTATGTCTTAGGTTGTTTACAAAAGGAAAAGAAAGCAGTGTCTAGAAGAACTAATTCCTAACTAGGTGAGATACTCAAATAAATATCATCGGAAATAGTAATATTTTGCATATTTTCATCGTCACATTTGTTATGTTTATAATAATATTTCATTCTAGTTTATATATGTATAAATATATTGATTCATTAAATAGTGACTGTAATAGCATATTTATGATTTCTATAAATGAAACATATTGGAAAGGTGAAATAAGTCATATAAGGGGATAAGTTTGCACAGGTAAATGCGAAAGATCTAATGAGATAAGTCTACACTCTCAAAATTCTATAAGTTGGGAATTCGGACCCAACCTTGAATTAGAGAGCAGTTTCAATTCTAAAAGTTGAGAATTTAGACCCAATCTTAAATTTAAAACTAGAAGGGTGCAAAAGTCTATAGCCATCATATGACTTGTATAAAGATTTTGAATAGTAAATAAGATAGAAAGTTATATAATGAATTTTTTATGACCAGTATGGAAGTTACATGTGTTTTAAATCAATTGTTAATTATTATTTCTTATACATTGTTTGGGTATTTTATTGAGCTCTAGCTCATTTGTAGTGGTTATACTATAGGCAAGGGGAGGGAGTCAGTGGAGTAGTAATTTGGATAGTTGACTATTCTTTTGTATACATACATTTTTTGGATGTTCCTGAGTAAGAGTTGTATGGACTTTTAGGTACAAAAGTAAATTTTAAAAATTTAGTAAAGCTCTGTATTTCAATTGAGACATGTATTTTATTTGATTTGTTTAAATATGCTTTTCGTTATGAAATATTGATTCCAATTTTGATTTGAAAAACTTGATGTGTTGGGGAGTCTAAATAAGTTATCTTATACTCACTTGATCATGTTAGAAGTATTTCAGGATGAGTGTTAGTAAGAGATAGATCTTTTCAGATTCTCCTTCTCTGTTACACTCCATGTTCTCTGAAGGGGTGTCAAAATGAGGTGTGACACAACATCAGCCCTCCCAAATTCTTGCATTCAGCCAACAGAAATTCCAACACAAAATGCAGCAGCCATTACACACTACAGTCCTTTTTATCAGCTGAATTCAACAATATCTAACTGATTTTAGCAACCATGAATTCAACAAACCCTACAGCCTCTTCTTAACTTTCCTTTCTGATTTCATATGCCTAAATTCAGAAATCTAGCAATTCACCATCTACAACAGTTCTTATCAATGCAAAAACCTGAATTCAACAAATAGATTCCCTTACCTAAGCTTAGAAGCAGTTACCGCAGTCTCCAAGCTAGTTTCAATGCTTAAGTTTTCTATCACATGAATCTCTATGTACATATATCCAATTAAAATTTAATTTTTTAAGGGAAATGATAAAATTAAATTTACCGTTTAAAAATTTTGGGTAATATAATAATCCCAAGCAAAAGTACTACAAAAACCATTTCGGCAATCATTTTAGGCCAGCAAGCATTCTATTACATCATCAAATTTGTGCATGACAACTGTAGTGGAATGAATAAATTCCATATCATTGAACATGAAACTCAGTTGAGCCAAAAGAATAACAAATCATTGATATTATCATATAGACCTTATTAGATTAAAAGTTCATAATTATTATATATTTTTTCTTATTCTATAATATATTCTTTTAATTGAGAATATTTTTAATGTTATTTTAATTCATTATATCTTTTGTATTTATCTTTATATAGGCACTAGTATGATAATAAATTATATCAAGCTATTTATGTTGTTAAAAGTTAAAACCATATTAATTCTTGTTATCAATTACCTTGCCCTCCCATTCCTCTCTTAACTATTGATTTTCTGTTTTGTACTTCATCTTTCCCCCTCTACACCCTCTAAATTCGTTAATTACAAGCTGATACACTTTCTTTCCTTCACCCGTGTGCTGCGCTTCTATCACTTACAACACAATGCTTGCATGCTCACCATACCTACCCCCATTGCCCTTGCTGGTTGTGTGCTTGCTATGAGACCTTGCTTCTTGTACTCTTTTACATCCACTTGTAATTCAATGTTGTACTAACCTTATGCTTATTAGATACTATTAAAATCTCAATCGCCCCTTGGCCCTTGACCCCACAACCATTATGAGGATCTGAGGGAGGCTCACTTGGATCACTCTATTAAATCCCAGCCGTCTCTTGATCCCACGGACAGTATGGGAATCCATAGGAGGATCACATCAATCTCCTGCCCTAATTGGGTGGCTAATTTAGGAAGGATTATATTAGTACAATTATGCATTATTCTCAAATTATTTATTTTCTTATTAAGAAATATTGTATACATCTATAAATAAGGATAGCTTTGTGTAATAAAATTAAGCCTATTTCCCTCTCCAATTCTCTTAATTTAACATGGTATTAGTGACTTGAATTGAAGGAAGCAGAGAGGTGAAACCAGCCTTCATTGCCGAAAATATGAGGAATCCAGGTTTCCATTACCAGCCTTCATTCCTGGAATTCTTAGAAATATATGTACCCATTACCGACCTTCTTTGTCGAAATTTGAGGAATACTAGGCCTTCCATCAGCATTCATTGGTAGAATTTGGGCAATACTAGGCCTTCGTTATTGTCATGCACCTTGCATGCTTGATTTATATAGCCTTCATCGCTATCCTTTGTCGTTGTAATGTCTATAGCTAATTCCTCCCAAAGGTTTGACTAAATGGAAGACTCTATGGTGCACCTAGAGACTTGACAACTCTATTTTTCTAGGACTAATTTCCAAGTTGGGAATAACAGATCTATATTCCCTAGCTTGAGGGGGAGTGTTAAAATCTCAATTGTCCGTTGGCCATTGACCCTACGGCTAGCATGGGGATATGTGGGAGGCTTACCTGGATCTTGTTGTTAAATCATAGCCCTCCTTTAGCCTTGATCCCACGGCTAGCATGGGGATCCGTGGGAGGCTCACTTTGATTACACTGATCTCCTTCCCTATTTGGGTGGTTGTTTTAAGAAGGATTATATGAGTACAATTATGCATTATTCTCTAATTATTTGTTTCTTTATTAAAATATCTTGTATAGATCTATAAATAGGGATAGTTTTGTGTATTAAAACTAAGCCAGATAAAAAATATTTGTTATCATGTCTGCTTGACATTAATGTGGCACCAACCATCAGCATTCTGGCGACGTATGTTATGATGTAATGCCCATATAATTTTTTTAGTTATAAAATAAATATCGTCTTTATATATTTAATTATAGATTGTCATTGCCAAACATAAAATAGAGATAGACGAGAAATAGGGAGGAAGGAAAGTTAAATACCATGTTTCTGTTTGACTGAAACTTGGCCCACTATATAGATGTTTATAATGGGTAAACAAAAAAGAAATTATGCTTATCCTAGTAAAAAAGAAAATATAATGAAAACAAGAATTTTCTCTTTTAGAAACTTAATTTATTTGATAGAATCAACAGACAGCTGACAATTACCTTCTACCAAGGTTTAAAATTGCGTAACTGCGCCTCGAGACGGTTTTCGTCCGTGAGGCGAGGCGTAAGCCTCGAGGCGGTCTGAGGCGTAAGCCCACGAACACAGAATTGCGTAAATGAAAAATTAAGGATTTTAGCAGGAAAATAATAGCAATAGTTTTTTGGTGAAATTGCGCAAAGGCGCGCCTTGAGGCGCGCCTCTAATTGCGCAATTTTAAACCATGCCTTCTGCCAAATCAGTCAAGAATTGAAGCATCCCTTGCTTTTGATTCATGCCAAAGTCATCAATCAAAGGCTGTGGTTCAGAGATTGAGCCAACAAGGGCACGTCCTGCTGCTGCCCTTCCAATAGAGCCAGTGTCTTTCCTTTTAGGGAGCATGCCAGCTGTAGCCATTAAGAAATTCTTCCATTAGGACCCATTAGCTCACTTTCCAAGAAGGCATAAAGGTTTGCCGGACAATATGAATCTAAATTTAGAAGAGACCTTTTCTTTGCAGCTGCATTCAAGAATAACATTTTTTTTGTCACTGTTCTAATGGAGTTGTAGCAGTAAATCTAATATGCTAGCCAAATTTCTCTTCTTCCAGATAAAACTGTGAGTGTCATTCCATCTCATTTTGCAGCATGATGCTTATAGAGAATTTGTTTTATGTATTATTCTATGTCCTTAATCAGTTGCTTTTACTATATGGTGGAATGTTTTCTACATTAACTATATCTTTTAATTGCAAGTAGTATCATTGCATCTCATGCTGTTTTGCAATCTGGTACTTATAGAGAAATTGTTCTGTAGTATTTTATATTCTTAATCAGTTTCTTTTACTATCAGGTGGAATGTTTTCTATCGAATTGCAGTCCAAGTGTAAGTTTAAGCCTCAACGTTCTATTGTATGCAAACTTTTTTTAGGTTTGCAGAGAATGGGAAACAATAGCACTAGAAGTTGATAAAGACGTAAGGCTGCTGCTTTTGCGTATAGGTGTAGTTTTGGGACGTGATGGTGGTGCTCTAGGTTCGTGCTAATACCTCTTCTATTTTATGATGCTCTTGAATCAATTCATGCATTGTAAATCATTATTAAAGTTTAGGGATAATCCAATATCCTTTTGTGGAAAGTATTTGCTAACCAATTTGATTAATTTTTATGCGGAAACATTATACATAACATCAAGATAAGTGGGATTAACTACAATATAGATGTAAATGACACAAAATAGTATGTGCCATGATGCGCCATGACGCACGGTGCAGTGCACATTTGGCGCCATGTGTATAGCGTGGCGCAGATGTTCAAAATGGCTCGTGCTATTTGTGCCACCTGTGTGCCATGGCGCATGGCACACGGAACAAAATAACGCACACAATTGTTTTTCAGAATTTTTAATATAATTATAAATAGCTTTTATATTTATATTTTTTTATGTTTAAGATAATATATTTTCTAATTTCCAAACATATTAAAATTATTTTATAAATACTATATTGCTCTTATCAGGTGCTCTAATCTCACGAACCATTCTGCTCCCGCGAGCTATTCAACGCGCAAAAGAGAAACAATGGAGCGCTTCTGCTTTGTCAATCTCCTTTGTTCACTACTTCCACCCATTCCTTCGTCTGTTTCGTATGACCTTTGGCTAATTCCTGATAGGAAACACTTGTAGATCTCAAGTATTTCCTATCAATCTTTGGAAAACAACGAGAATTCTTCACAAAAATCACACAAAACCACAAAATAGTAGATAATTTCTATTATTTGATGAAAGGGAAACGGAAAATACCAAGATACAATTGATCATCTATTCGAGAGGAGGATCTTTCTCTCCCAAATCTTTAGATGCCGCTAGAGCCCAAAGAAACTAAAATATCTCAAATATCTATCAAATTCCCAATACTCTCACCCCTAGAAAACAAACTATTTAATGCATACAATTCAAAACGAAATCTCTAAACAGTCCCTACATTCAATTTCCCTACTAAACTTCTTTTAAAATCCTTCTGAAACAGTCGTTTTTTGCTCCTATCGGTTTTTGCAAGAAACTAAAATATCTCAAATTTCTGCCAAATTCCCGATACTCTCACTCATGGAAAACAAACTATTTAATGCATACAATTCAAAACGAAATCTCTAAACAGTCCCTACATTCAATTTCGCTCCTAAACTCCTTTTAAAATCCTTCCTAAACAGTCGTTTTTTTCTCCTGTCAGTTTGTGTAGTATGCAGGAGGAGGAACCCTCCAATTCTGTTCGTTGGACTAGACCGACCTAACAATTCCACACCGACTGAAGCGATTGCTCGTCTGATTTTGCATGCGATGCTACTCCTGAGTATTTTTTGCATGCGAGCGGAAGCGATTGCTCCTGAGTGTTTCTCAACTATTTTCGACGGAGGCCACCACTATTTCTAGTTGAGCGGTTCAGTTCATAGGTGTGCCTTACAAGCATACATAAATAATTTTCTTTTATTTTATATTTTATATTTTGTTTATATTTTTACAAATCTTTTTCAAATATGCCTGTTTTCAATCTCATATCGGAGAAACTACACAGAAAGAATCAAATTTTTGGTAATTCAATATTTTTTTATGCTTTTGATTGCATGAACACAATAATATGAGATAGTTATATTATTGATTTGTCTTATTTTATTTTGAAGATTATATTTATTCAAAACATTGTGATTACAAGATCGCTGCCATAAGCCCTACCGAACATTGATGAACTTTACATTGATTTGTGTTTTGTATGATGAGGTTTACATTGATTTTATTCATCTAATTCTAATGGAGATCTAAATTTATTTTTATGAATTTGCTTGCTTTTAGGTGATCATAAAATGTTAGATTCAATTTAATATTTAAAAAGATCCAGCATGGAAATATGCAATACTGACAATTGAATCTAATAACATATGTGTATTTTTTGTGGCAAAATAACAAAATAAGGAATTACACTTCACAAATAATACATTGTTGGAGTGTTTAGGAATGCTACACCTTGCTTTAATTGCCCTAAGCACATGAAGTCTGAAATTAAGACATCCATGTTAAAAAAAAGATTTAAAAGTAAAGATAAACTTGTGTAATTTCATATGAAGAATGAAATTTTAGTCTTAAATTATAATTATAGTACAGAAAAATTATTTATGAACAAATATCCTCACATTTATTAGACTCCTTGTGTTATTCATTGTTTGGATTTCATAATGGAGGACATTTTCAAAATTCAAATGCTAAGGCGATGCTTTGAAAAAACGGTTGCAGTGCACAGTTTTATATATTCTAAGTCTCGCTTATTTGAGTTAATAAGAAGATACACAAATCAAAGAGCACTAGTCAAACTTGCTAAGACTTATTTCACAACAGCTTTCTTAATTTTACAACATTTTCATCAACAAAAACTAAACTTGAAGAAAATGTTTACTTGTGAAGAGTTTATCTTGGATCCTTATGCGAAAGTGGCTAAAGCTAAACAATCTCAACATATAATCTTGCAGCAATTATTTTGAAACACTATAGTATATATCTTAAAAATAGCTGGTCATTTATTAAAGGTTCTTAGATTGGTTGATGGTGAGAAGAAACCCCCAATAGTTTACATATATGAAGCAATGGATAGAGCTAAAAAGGCAATTACTGCAAGCTTCAATAACAGTGATAAGTATGATCAAATTTTAAAATTATTCATAAAAGATGGGAAGTGCAATTTCACCTACCTCTATATGCAGTGGCACATTTTTAAAATCATGAATATTTGTTTAATAACACTAATATTGCCAATAATAGGGAAATAGTTGATGACCTTTATCAATGTTTTGGAAGATTATCTAGAGATGTAGATGAAGAAGATAAAATTAATAATAAATTAAGTTTATAGATTAGGGTTGAATGACTATTTGGTATTCCTCCAACTGTAAGACAAAAAACTAACCAAACTCCAGGTATCTTTATTTACATAAAATGAAGATTGATTTGCAAGTATATAATATTGAAAATAAATATTTCATTTCTTCCAGCTGATTGGTGGTTTGCCTATGACCAAGGAGTTCCCAATTTACAAAGCATTGCTATCAAAGTTCTTAAGTTTAATATGTATCAAGATGCGAACGCAATTGGAGTATTTTTGAACATGTAGGTATTTTTACGGAGTGTGTTACTTTTTTATGTATGTTCATATTGTAGTAATGTAATAATGTTTCGATTGCAGTTTCATAGAAAACGATGAAGCAAATTGGATTATGGTCACTTAAAGGCTTTAGTTTATGTAAAATATAATAGAGCATTGATTCGAAGATATAATCATCATGATGTGATTGATCTTATTTCTTTGACTGAGATAGATGATGTGAATGAGTGACTAATAGGAAAATTAGATGACGAGTTTGATGAAAAAAAATGATTTTATTGCTGGAGAGGAAGATTTAATAGTTTCACATCTACTAGCTAAGATGTGTGGTAAGACGTTATGTAGCTAGGCTAGGATGTTGTCAATTTGGGGTACAACTTTAGGGCAGTGATATTTCGTTCTTTACACCCTTCATTCTTGTTCCAATAGGGCATTTCCATTTTTTTATTGAACTAGATGAAGAGATTCCATTCATGCTTATAATCACTTTCATATGTAGTTTTAATATCAAGCATGTCTTGAAGGCATGCAGTTGAAATGAAGTTCTTGCTCATTTTATTAATGCAAATGTTATCTTCCAATAAATTTTTATTCTTGTTGATGGGGATATTATCAGCAGAATTCAAGTTGGATGGTTGAAGTGGAGAAATGCATCAGGCTTGTTATGTGATAGAAATGTACCCCTCAAACTTAAGGGAAAATTCTATAAGATGGTAGTGAGGCCTGCAATGCTTTATGGTGCCGAATGTTGGCCTTTAAAAGAGAAGCATAATACTAAGTTAAGTGTGGCAGAGATGAGGATGCTCAGGAGATGAGGATGCTCAGGTGGATGAGTGGCTTTACCCTTAGAGATAGGATACGAAATGAGCATATACGTGAAAAGGTTGGAGTAGCTCCAGTAGAAGATAAGATTAGAGAAAGTCGCCTTAGATGGTTTGGTCACATAAAACGGCGGCCTTGCGATGACCCGGTTAGGAGAGTAGAGGTATTAGATTTGACTTATGTTAAGAAAGGTATGGGTAGACCTAAAAAGACTTGGTTAGAAAATATTAGGAATGACCTTTCTTTATTAGATTTAAACGAGAATTTGACTTTTAATAGGCACAATGGAGAAAAAGGATTCATGTAGCCGACCCCACGTAGTGGGATAAAGGCTTGATGTTGTTGTTGTTGTTGATGATTGTCTATTCTCATTAGATTTAAATGAGAATTTGACTTTTAACACGACACAATGGCGAGAAAGGATTCATGTAGCCGACCTCACGTAGTGGGATAAAGGCTATGATGTTGTTGTTGTTGTACTGATTGTGTATTCTAAAATCAGCCCTCAACATATAAATAAAACCATAATTCATAATGCAAAAAAGGCTCAATATACATATAGTAACTGCTACAGCTAGATTTAAACTTTAATCAGGATCAATCTCATTTAACCTCCTTAGTTTCGCTCTTAATCTCTTCTTTCACTTTATTTTAAACGCATGTTAAATGATACATATGATCCTTTTCAAAATCTATGTAAATATCTAAAAACTGAAACATGCTAAACTACTAGTTTAGCTTTTTTTTTTTTTTTTTTTGGTTGAACCAAATGGTTTTTCCATAAATCTTTTATTCACAATCTTTTTTTCTAAAATCTCTAATATTCTTTCTTCTTTCAAACCCAAAAGAAAGCCTAAAAATTCATTATAAAGTAGTCAACCTCAACCGATATCTTAATGAGGGAAAGATAGATGTCTCACTATTTTGATAGAGACTGTTATTTCTGTACGAATTTGATAACGTTTGAAAGCTAACACGATCATCTACAACTTTTTGCATTCCACTGTTTGATTTTGACAGAAAAAGTTGTAAATTTTGTGCCAAATGCCACGATTAAAAAAACGGTCGAGGCGTCCGAACAGAGGCGCGATTCAGTTCGAGGCGCTAACCCGGCGCCTTGAGGCTTAAGCCTTAATGTATTTGTGTTAGAATTTCTATACTTGATTTCAGTTTGAGGCTCCTCTTTGCTATGTTTTCTTGACAACGAAGGGACCTCCCTAATCAGGTATGAATTTACTACCAATTTGTTGACAAGAATGATTTCTTCAACACCAAGATCAATTTTACTTCTTGGAATGTCGGAGGTTCCATTTGCTAGCATTGAATAATATTTTTCTTGAGGTGGGTGAAGAACAACCTAGGTTGTATTTTATTGATTTGAATTTGATGACCCCCAACATGCGGGATGGTTGGAATTTCATCAACTGAATTCTTTTTATTTCATGGAGAATCAGGGTTAACCAAAGTTTTGCCCTCCTAACTTAAATTTGATGACTCTTTCACCTTTGTGGTTTCTAAATTCACCAATTTTAATACTTGACAAATGTGGACTGCAATCAACACAAGCTCATCATTCACGTTTGTTATGATTGGGCTCGATATTATTCATGCTAGCAAACACATGTCCACACTACTATCCAGTGTGTCCTATCATGTGGGCAATTATAATCTTCATTCCCACCACGCGCAATAAAGGCATGTATGGGGTCTTTGAATATACTTGTTTTAAAAAACAGTTGGCTTTCCCCCCGCTCAAGCGTACTTATAAGTAATCCCGCATTGTCGTAGGCATCGCACCGAATTCTCATCCCACCGCGCGCAATAAATGCGTGTATAGACGATTTTTCAGTGCGCCGCGAACGCCGAAATGGGGCTTTTTGATTACCCGCTTTGTCGCGAGCATCGCGACGCACTTCCTCCCAACAGCTGACAAAAGTGTGTATAGGTGGTCGTTTTGTCGCGTTGCAAGCGTCGAGGTGGGCTCTCGAAGTTTTAGGGTTGAGGGTTTATATCTTGGCGACCGACGAGGCGGGCTCGTAGATCGAGGAAAGAGAAACATTTCTTTTTTTTTTCATTTTTATTAATTAATTATAATTAATCATAATTAATTAGTAATAATTAAATATAATTAATAATAATTAATTACAATTAAAAATAATTAAATACAATTAAAAATAATTAATAATGATAATTAATCATGATTAATTATAATAAATTATAATTAAAAGTTATTAATTAACATTAATTACAATTAACTATAATGATTTATAATCATTTTAATTAATTATAATTAACTCTTATAATTAAAAAGGATTTATGTAGGATTTGAAAAGGATTTATATTAAATCCTATTAAACAGAGGGTAAGCCCTCCGTTTCCCAAGAGTTCGACGGCCTTAAGGTATTTGTCCGATGAAGCGCACATATAAGAGTAAGTTACCTTCACAGCTAGCAAGCTCCCACTATTGCTTCCGCTCAAAAGTGTCGTGTTTCCCTATCCGACAGGAAGGGAACATTGTCAAGGGAGGCGGAGGTATAGGTTTGGGTTGGGTAAGGTGGATCGTGGCTTGGATGGAGTTTGATGGTGGGTTTTGGTGGCTGAAATGTTAGATGGCTTCGGGTGGAGCTATAGGCGAAGGGTTCAGTAGAGTTGGGTGCAGCAAGTCTTTAGCTAGGTAGGAAGAACTCCTCTCTCTCTCTCTCTCTCTCTCTCTCTCTCTCTCTCTCTCTCTCTCTCTCTCTTTGTGGACCGAAGGGTGGGTTAGGGCTTCTGCTAGGTTTTGATTGAAGGAGGTTTCGAATGAGGCGAGGGAGATGGGGGAAGAAGATTTCGGTTGAAGCAAAGAGTGGAGTCAAGACAATGAACCGAGACCTCCCTCTCATTTTATTGGCGCAAATAGGAGCACATTTTCATGATCTGCGCAAGATTTATGCGAAAAGACTTGAGTAGCGCGGTTTTGCAGAGGATAGGACTGTAGTAGGTAGGATTTCGGTAGAGAGCAGGGGATGGGCGCAGGATATCACCACAGGTAATCATTTTTTAGCGATTTTTTTAATTCGATTTTATTCCGCCTTTTTTTTCTGTTGAGGTCAACATAGCCGCATCACTTAGCCTTGCATGCATTGGACGGATTGAAAAGGCTTGAAATCAACCGCTGGGTGGAGTTTTTGAAAGGAATTAGTAAAGCTTAATATGTTAGGAGAGTCTAAACATATTACATTTTGCTCATCTGATCTTAATAAAAGTAGCTCAGAATGGGTGTTAGTAACAAGGGGCTTGTTTAGATTTTCCTTCTCTGTTATACTCCAGGTTGACCCTAAGCGGGGCCAAAATGGGGTGTGAAAAAATACTACAATGTAAGCTTTATAATATATTCTTTAGTTTGTATATAAAAGGAAAAGAGGCAGGGACATTTCAGGTGAACAACTTTACCAAACTACTCTAGAGAACGAGATGAGATATCAAATATGTGATATAGGAAAAAGAAGCATTTTATATAAACATGGCAGCATGTTTATCCCACTATGGTAGCAACTATTTTCATATTGAACGTGTTGATGGTTTACTAATGCACTTGATTTCAACATGTTATAGTTTATGTTTACTGCATATACAAAGGTATATTATGAAAATGTGAAGCCTAATGAAAGGTAAATGATAAAAATCATATTACGGGGATAGACTCGCACAAGTAAATGCGAATGACCCAACGAGGTAAGCCTTAGGGACCATACAGGAGGTACCTGACACTCACTTCTAAAAGTTGAGAATTCAGAGACAACCTTCAATGAAAGAGCTCTCACTTCTAAAAGTTTGGAATTTGGTCCCTACCTTGAACAAGAGAGCTATAAGTGTGTAAAAGCCTATAGTCATCATATGATTTGTTTAAAATATTGGAAAGTAAATAGAACAAGAAATGTGGAAAGTTAATTATGCATTAATTTCTTGTACAGCTTATAATTAATATAGAAATTCCATATCGTTTATAATTGACTGTTGATTATAAGTTTCTTATTTCTTGTACTATGGTTGTGTATTTCATTGAGCTTTAGCTCTTTAGCAGTACTTGTACTATAAGAAAGAGGAATGAGCCAGTGGAGCTCTAGGCAGGAGGTTGACTACACTTTTGTGTAAGTATGTTTTGGTTGTGTATAGAAGCCAGAGTAGGAAGCCTTACAATCAGATTTTCGTGTATGAAAATTTTATTTAACAAGTAGTAAGCTCTATATTTTAATTGATGAGTTATGAATATGCTTCCAATTATGAATTGTGTAAAACAATTGCTAAAATTGAAAGTTCATTGTATTAGGATAATATGAATAAATCATTTCCTACTCATTCAATTCTAATAGAAGTAATTTAGGATGGGTGTTAGTAAAAGATAACTGTTCAGATTCTCCTTATCTGTTACGCTACATTTTGACTAAAAGGGGATTAAAATGTGGTATGACAGTGGGGAGAATGATAAAAAAGTTATCAAGATCCAATAATTTTGTCATATCAAGTTGTCATGGTCTATATTATATTTAGTCAAATGATGTAGTTTATCCAATTTGATTGAAGAACTCTTGTCGGCAACCATGTGATGCTTCATCCAATTGAACCTTATAAATCTAGGGTAAATTTTTGTCTAAGCGGATAAAGTCAACCTTATCTAAGAGAGCTTTGTATCCTATCAAGTACACTTATGATTCATAATTCAAGGATTTTTAGCCATTGAAAACCTATAAGCCCTGGCCATTATCATAATTTAATGGACATTTGAAAAAAACCACTAGATCAGAGGGCCTCAATCATAATCATTTACTTGTGGTGCTATGTGACGATAGAACTAGTGATTAGAGGATACTTTTCATGTCCTTTTGATCAGAAATTATTCAAGAATGAATCTTAATGATATATTCGACGATATATTTCTATTTGTAAGTTGAGGTTATTTTCAAATTTATTACCCTTTGATAAATAGGTATTGAAGTTGGATAAATTTTTTTTGAAGTTCAAAGCAATAAAATTCACTTCAAATATTTAGAATTTTTTTAAAATTTTAAAGTTTTATGTTTTACTTGAGAAATTATCTATATTAGAATTTAGTGGTATTTTGAACGATACAATCTCTATCGGTTGATTTTTTCTATTAACGAAGCTTTTATTTTGGCATTTAAATATTTTATTTGATGACTTGAACTGTGCCAACTCTACCTGGTTATTAGCAGACGATCGAGTTCAAGTATTGACACTGCGAACTATCATGTGTGTAGCGAATTTGAGAGTTTATATTTTTATAATGAATTTTGTTTTGTAAAAGATGTTAAAAGCCTAATATGAACACAAAACAAAATATTTTTGTGAATTCTACACATACATTCACTGGTGAGAATAGATTCTATTTTAAATTATTTGAATCTTGTTGTTTGGATATCCTTCATTAAATTTAAATCTCTTCATTTCCAGTCTTTATATGGAGGAATGCTATTTATAATATTTCCCTATAGGCAAAGCGACTCGCTCGAGAAGCATCATGTAAAAATTAATTTGTCAAAATAACTTTTTCTCAAGACTAATGACCGGGTCAATTTATAAGAAGCCACATCTTTACACTATATTGATCCAAGCCTCGATTTTTTTTCTCCTTTTGTGTGTACTTAATACTAACATTCAATTCATGATAAAAAAAATAATCATCAATATTGCAATATGTTAGAATTTAACATTCATTTTCAGCTCTCAACTACTTTAAAGAACAAGGAAATTAAGAAAACACTAAGAACACTTCTGTTTTTAGCTTTCACAATTTGTGTATGTTTCTTTTACATGATGCAGCTAAAATGATTCCTCTCTTCAAGACGTTTGCTGGAGGACCTCTTGGTAGTGGTAAACAATGGTGAGTTTTCCTTGTTTTTTCTTTAAAAATAAAGATTGAAGTATAGTTGTGAAATTCTAGTTCAGATCTTGAGCTAGTTTTCCTAGTTATCAGTGCCATGTTACATGTGCTCATCTTAAGCGTTAAATATTTTTTTTCTTCTGGTACTATTTCCCTTATTCAGGCCATTTTATAGATCTGAAATAGCTTCTTAAAAGACGTCTAATGCTTGGCTTGATAGTGATTCATAACATTCTGGGATTGTTATGCTGCCCTTAATATGGGAGAAATAGGCCCCGTGATTCTGGTAAATGGAAGACAGGAGTTGCATGTATATGTTTTTGAGCTCTCTCGAGAAAAGAACATTTAATTTGCTTAAAAAAAGACAAGCTTTTCTTTTTTTTAAATCTTAATTTTGACCTAGTTTCATGGGCGGAAACGGATCAGTCATGCAACTTAAATTAAAAAAGGATTTTTATTTATCAAGTTGAATTATTTTTATCCATCTCTTGTTATCTGTATCTATTAGTTGTAACACTTCCCTCAACATACCTGAAATACATGCATTGGTGCGCATCATTGTTTATACAGCTTGATATCAGTAACTGTGTTTAAAGTTGACAACCAGGGCTTTCTTGTGACAGTTATGTGAGAGAGTGAAATATGAAGCACAACAAAGCAATTTTAGAGCAAAAGAGATGCTTTGCATTCCGAAATTTTTTATAATATATTAACAGATGCAATGAATTATCTTTATGAACAAATCAGACCTCCCAAACTCCATGCTGGTCTCTTATTGTAGAAGGATGTTTTCAGGAGGATGGAAAAGAATTTACTACGAAGAGATGAATCGCTAAATTCGTTTTGATGCTTTTATCTGTTTTTCTTCCGGTGAAGTTCCATACTTCTCAATCAAGTTGACCACACACTTTTCTTTTCTTTCTCCCTCTTTTCTCTTTCTTGATTGTCTTAAACTTCTGTATAATCCAAAATAACGTGTGTTAATGCATTCTCTTTTATTTCCCTCTATCGAAAATTTTCCGTGTTTCCATTAGGACATTTTAATGTTAAATAAGCTGATTTATCTCCAAAATAGGCCATGCTTTGAACTACTGTCAACTCATTATGTTGGCTTTGTTTCGAACAAAAGAAGAGTCACCTTGGAGATTTATTCATATATCCTCACTAGCATATTGCATCAGCGCATATCCTTCTATTTGTGAGTAGGTTGCTCTTTGTTGATAACCATAGAACATCTGACTCGTTGCTTTTCTTTCCAAAATATTATCAATTAGTGAAACATTTACATAATCATAGTATACTTAATTTTGAGCTTGAATCATTAAAATCTATGTGTGGTCATTATAGTTGAATACTCGGCTGTAGACACACATTCAACAATATGAAGAATTTCTATTGCATTTCACACTTCATTTGGCTCAAATGCAATTTTAGATGTCAAAAAATTAAAGAATATGATTTTCTTACCTCGATTCTTATATCTCCCAATTTCTTTCGCTTGTAAATCACCTACACAGGCCACATATTACAATTGTTATTATATATACTATTTCTACATTTTATTTTTCAAATCATATAAATCAAATCAATTTATTTTAAAATAATATTTTTACCTCAAAACTTCCACTTCTCATAAATCAATTGAAATCCTAGATAATAATTGGGTATAAACTAATTAGAAATTTTGCACCAACCAAAAAGAAATCTACTAAATTTACATTTCTTATTTTTTTATTCCTTCCCTAATTTCTTCTCATATCTCTTCTTTTTCCTTTTCTTCAAAGTTTTCTTCAGCCGAACCTCCTTCCCTCAGCTGTCCTGCTCGCTCCCTCACATCACCACAATCTCTAGCATGAAATTTTCCCTAACCCAAGAGCTACTAAGGAAAATGTGGAAAAGTGGAGGTGTTCACTGTCAAACCTCATTTTGTCCCTCCCATAGTCAATCTAGAATATAACAAAGAAGGAGAATCTGAACATCTCTCTTTCTTACTAACACTCATTTTAAACTACCTCTATTAAAATCAGGAAGTAAGAAGTCTATTCGGAATATCCTAATATATCATAACATATCAAACTTTCCATAATATGAACCATACATAAAACATCTCAAATAAAATGCACATCTCAATTGAAATACATAGCTTAACTAAAACCTTAAAATTTTACTTAAATACTAAATAGTCTATACAGCTATTGATGCAGGACTAAAATGTTTTTAAAATGGATGCGTTAAGAATTGCATGATTTCTTGAATAAGCAAGTAAGATTGAAACTGTTAGCAATCAAAACGACAATAGAAAATAAAAGAGGGGTGCCTACACTTAGGCTAAGCCACATGCCAAGCATGTGGAGAATTAAAACAAGTTAGAAATTCAATAGCATGCAAAGTAAATAGTTTTCAACAAAATCCCTAATCTAACAATTAGGTTAGGAGCATAGAAAGTCCACTCGATCCTACGTTTACTAAGCTTTGGCAACGACGAAACAAAATACTACATTTACTAAGCTTAGGCATAAGGCGAGACTCGGCTCCTTTTGGTTCATCGTCACCTACAAGATTAGGGGATTAGTAAGGTAATTGAAGAAGGGGAGAAGTTTACCTTAGTCAAAGTCCGGAAGCAAGTAAACGAGATGTTGAAGAAGTTCGTCGTTGTTTCCTTGAAGGTTCAACTTAGAGAGAAAGAAGTTTCTCTAGTGTGAAGTGTTGAACACGCTAGTTGGTATTTCCCTTGAAGGTTTCTATAGAGAGAGAGGAACTCATCTTGCAAATTCCAAAGAGAAAAATGGGGAGAGATGGTCGGCCATAGGTGGGGGACCACATGTTGGCAATAGGGTTAGGTTAGAGGAGAAGAATTAATCAAAATATGAAGTTTCAATTTCAAATTTGCATGTGGAGGATTTAGGAGCTTGGAATTTGAAAATTTTCCAAAGAGAGATGGGAGGAGGTTAATTGATTTCCAATTAGAGAAGTTCTCTAATGGAAGTAAATTAAATAATGGGGGCTAGGGAGGTTTCGGCCAAGTAGAGAGGTGGAGAAATTGGAATTGATTCCAAAAGGGGAATTTGGGATTTAGGAAAGAATTTCCTACTCCCACCCAATAGGGGCCGGCGACAATCAATGAGATAGGGAGAGATTGTGGGGAGAGGTTTTGGTTACTTAATTTGAGATTTAGGAATTAGGAAAGAAATAATTAAATCCCCTTTAATTTGAAATTCAAATGGGGTTTAATTAAGTAACTTTCCTAAATTAGGAGAGGGTTCCAAATTCAAATAAGTTTGAACTTGAAATTAAATCTTCCCAAATTAAGAGAGGTTGCTTATGGGAGGTAATCAAGACGAAATTTGAACTTGGAGGGAGGGGAGGAGTTTAATGAGGTCATTAATGCTTACTTAAATTATTGAATTAAGTTTGGAAAGAAATATCACTTCCCATCTTAATTTATAATTTAAATATGAAGGGATTTAGTAGTTTTCCTAAAATAGGATTTCATAAATTAGGCAACTATTCTAAATTCAAATAAATTTGAATTTAGTCATAAATAGAATTTCAAAATCATGAAATCTAATTTAGGAAAGGTGAGGTGGAAGCCAAGGGTGGTGGATGGCTTTGGCCGTGGGGAGGGGATGAGATGGGGAGACCTAGGAAAACTTATTTGAATTTGGAACATAATAAAAGACAAATAACATAATAAAAGACGAATACATGAAATGACTCAAAACTATATCGAATCGATCGTGGCCGTAGATCGACGGCTACATCTCTGCTGCACTTTTCATACTCTGATGTCCACATCAGATACTCAGATCTCTTTACATACCAAAAAGTATGTACATAAAAGAGTAGTCAACTGGCCTGACTACTACCTCACTGACTCCTTTCCTTTTCCTGTTGCACAACCATTGATAATGAGCTAAAGCTTAATGTGATACGCAAGCAATGTATAAGAAATAATAATGAACATATTGACAATTTATGTAAAGCACATGTAAAATTGTATATTAAACATAAGAAATACATAACTTCACTTTATGTTATGTTTATTGTTGTTGACGCTAAACCGTGGCCAGCAAAACAGAAAAAAAGAAAAGATCAAATCCCTTTCCTGCTGCCTCAAGTCGCACGATCCAGCGCCGCTCGTCGTATGTCGAGGCCATACCGAGCATCGCGTCTCGCATGTCGCTCGCACGACTCGTTCGAGTCGTTAAAAGATCGAAGGGACAAAGGCCTTCGGCCTTCTCTCGCACCTGGCTCCTTCCCTCTTACTCGATCTACCTTCCTTGCGCTGGACTCCCTACCCCGATCTCCAGGCCGACGTACGTAAAACCTCCCCATCTCGTCGCCTCTGCTTGTCTAAAGCCCCGACCACCTGTCTCCTTCCTCCGATCCTCTCAACTGACGCCTCCACCTTGCCATAAACCCTCTCCTCCTTTAGCCGAGAGAGAGAGAGAGAGAGTGAGAGAGAGAGAGAATCCCTTACCTCCATCTAAATCCTTCGAACCTCATCTCCCATTGCCGATCTTCTCTCTGCTTGTGCCGACTCCAAGCCTTTCCTGCCCAAAACCTTGCTGTAGCCGAGCACCTCTAATAGAAGTTTAGAGGTGATTTTCTTTTAGGTTATCATTATTATTGTTAATAGTATTATTATTATTATTATTATTATTATTATTATTAAACATAATAGTAATGATAATAATAATAATTTTATTATTATTATTATTATTTCAAAAAAAAAAGTGTGCTTCTCCCGCCTCGACATCCGAGCCAACTCCACCGCCGGTCCACCATCCCCGAAGGTATAATTTCTAAACTTAGACTTCTGTCCTCGACGTTCGTGTCGGGCCGGTAGACCACATATGCACGCTTTTCTCTAGCGTGGTGGGAGGGAATCCCGTCTGACACCGACGACGAGGCAAACAGTCTCCTAAACTTTCTCTTACCTCGACATGCGTGTTGAGCCGGTAGACCACCTATACACGTTTTTCTCTAGCGTGGTGGGA